CCTTCTATGCCTCGGCTGTTATTTTTTTCATAATTATTTCTATTTTTAAACTTCTTTTTATTGAAAGACAGTTTCTGCGGCTTTTAAATTGTTGCAAAAGCTTACCATACCAAATTTTGGAAATAGGCCTGAAAAATAACGTCTCGAAAACAAAGGTGTGCAGAGTGTTGGCTTGCTTGAAGCAAAACTGCATATCGACGACGATGACTTTGAAGAAACTGACGGCCATGTCTATCCTGTTTGGAAGTAAATGTGTGCCATAATCTCCAGCGGAAGGTTACGCGTAGAAAGGCTGTCAGTTAGCGTGAATTTCATAGCGTCACTGAAGCAGTATATCCATCTCATCAGTATCATCGTGCTGAAGACTGTGGTGTGCGGATGCGAAACATGGTCGTTGACGAAAGTTAGAAGTCGAGTACTAGGTTGTGGCAGGAAGAGCGATGAAGCGAAATCTTTGGAATGCTTACTTGTGACCATACAACAGTTCGTCTGTCTGTTAGATAATCGATGTCCAGGATGTTATTGCGACCGCGTAAGAAAATAAAGTCCAATGAACAGGACCTTGCTCGCCATTTTTGACAGCTGGCGGACATCGATTGTCAGCAAGTAGTGCTTGCGAAAAAGCAAGGGACTACCCAGACGGCTTTCAAAGATTAGTGCACGTACATCGAACAAGTGTCGGGTACTAAATGGGGATATCTCAGGATCAAAAGCCCTGGTATAGCTGCGTTCGCTGTTGCTCAGACTTGATTAATAGAGGAATCTTACCAATGTTTATGCGTTTTGTGCTGTATAACAGCAGTACAAAACGCATATTGTCACGGGGTTGTCTGTGTGTGTGTTTGTGTTTATGTGTGTGTGTGTGTGTGTGTGTGTGTATGTCCGCAGCGACTTGTCCGCAACATCCAACTCGGGAATCACAAAAGCTAGGAAGTTGAAAATTTAGAGGAGCGTTCCCCAGCCACGTGTGACCCAGCAAATTTAAATTCAGCTTCCCCGTACCCGCGGGTAATATGTATGGCCGCGTGAAAGTTTTTTACGGGTAAATTAATATCTCGGGAACCACGAAGTCTAGGAGGCTGAAATTTCAGGGTAATGACCCCCTGCCCACGCTCAACCTTGCCTATTCAAATTTAGTGTTCCCGCGCCTTTGAGTATTACCTATGGCCTGGTGATAATTCCGGCTGGTAAACTATTAATTCGGGAATCACGGAAAGATATTCCATACTTCAAGGCTTCGAATTCAGCTTTTATGCGCTGATGCGTGAAATTTTTAACTGTTTTCCAATGTTT